GGGCCGTGTCTGCACCACCCTTGCAAAAAAAGGGTTTCCCAAGGACTCTCTCCAAAAATGATGCTCACGATAGGACTCTCAAACATTGCACTTCAGTCTTTTCTCTCTCTAACTGATTCCCAAAAGTGATGCTAGCGACATAAAGATCGTGTGTTCGCAGTTCACCTCTGCTAGGCACAGATGAACCAGCACAGGACAAAGCAAGGCGGCCCCGTCTTCTGAGAGGTTCCAGAATTCAAATTCCACAAATAATGGTACAAAAGCCAAAAGGACTTTATGAAGAGGGAAATCGGAGAGTGAGGGGGGACATTACAGGCACTTGGATGGGAGCGGTTCCTAGAAAGAGTACATAGACACTGCCCTGAATGAACGCACACATTGCAGTACAAAGTCAAATAGAAAACAAGATATATTTCCACTTATAAAGTCTAAGTAGACATAGTAGACATTTTGATAACAAAAGACAAAAGATTTTCATTGCATTTTTGTTTGCCTGCTTTTGTGTTCTGGGTTTTTTTTTCCTTCTAACCTTTCTATTTTGGCTCTATAAGCTAGAGATAAAAATATTAGAATTATATAATCTATTTTATCAAAAATAAAAGATAAAAACAATTCTATTTGTAAATGTATAAATTATTTTAGGACCAGCTACACAACTAATTTCAATGAATCAAAAAAAATGATATCATGAGCAAACTAAATTAAATATAAGCCATTTCCTCTATAGATCGAAGTTTCTAGGATTTCACAAAGGTAACAATGATCAAGCCTAATTCTTAAATCCTGTCAGTTTCAAGTTCTAAACATCACATAACTTTATCAGCATGGTCCTCACTTAGTTACTTGTTAGGAAGAAGAAGAATGCGGATGAGGTTGAAGTCTTGGACTTCACGAGAGAAAACAAGACATGGGTTCAACATTCAGTGGTGGAATTTTGTATAGAGATGCCAGGATCTCTTACTTAATTTCAGTCTATCACCGTCTGCCCTTTAAAGGCGGTACAGACACTTGATATTTCAGATCATCAAATTAAGGCTATCCACCTAAAAGTTTTATTAAGGCTCATAGTAAAATATATTTTTATAAACGAGTATTTATATTTCTACAGAACATCTGAGGAAACCATCAGACCTAGGTGTACACTAGAATCCCAAGGTGTACACTAGAATCCCAGGGGAGCTTTCAGGAAAGCAAAGGCCCAACTACTAAGATTCTAATTTCACTGGTCTCATAATGTATACTTTCTGTACAATCTCTCTCTCTCTCTCTCTCTCTTTCTCTTTCTCTCTCTCTCTCGCAAACACACACACACACACACACACACACACACACACACACACACACACGGGCGCGCTCATGCACACATCTTACCCAGGAGATACTAATAATGAAACCATTGCTTTAGACTTGGGTTATATCCCAGAAAGAAAAGACAAACAATTCCTGATAATCAATGCTGAATTTCCATTTAAGGGGAAAACTGCCTTAATAACAATCATTTGTGTTGACATCATCATCTCATTCAAAAACGGATTTCGGCAAGACAAAGAAAAAAAAGTTTGTGATCATCACAAACATCCGATTCAAAGCAGTTAAAAGAGACTAAAAACAAATGACCATTTTTTCCGCTGTCATCTGCAAGTGATGTCCATTAGGCATTATCTATTGGTTATCAAATTAACAATTGACTATTTCGCAAAAAACTTTATTTCCACTTATTTTCATCTCCGTCAGAATTTCCAGTATAAATTTTATTTCCTCTGCCAATAAAAGTAATACAAAGTCGCAATTTGGCGAGGACATTTTAAGCCTGGGTGTGATTTCTGTACCCCAATCGATTTAAATTAGTTTTGCCATATTTAGAGAGAACTAAAGAAAAAAAATACTCCATTTGACTGCTTTGATTTGCCTACTGGTTTATTTTCCATAGCATTTTCAGAGCTCCGAAAAAGCCAAATGTTTATTCCTCACGATTTTATCTGAAAATGCGGTACTGATTCATATTATCCCATTACTATTTCAAATGAAAACTATTAATAAAGAAGAACCTGCCGACTTTTGTTTTCCTTGGCTAGAATGCCCACTTTCTAAAAAACTGCACGTCTGTTTACTATTAATGTCAAATCCTAAAGGGAGAGAGGGGAAAAAAAACAAAACTATATAACGATGGTTTAACCCGATGAATTTTCAAAAAAGCAATGCATTTTAAAATATTAATTCCTTTCAGCAGGACAGCCTTTTGCTACCTGTTGCTGGTCACCAGTATTTCTCACTACCAAACAATAGGCGACTGGGCCGGGCATAAGCCAGTTCCCATGTAAAAGTGCTCATCCTCAAAGCCCACAGGATACTTATCAGAATACAATCAAGCAGCTCTGGGAGCTCCAGAGGGGACAGCATCGAAAGGATTTCCCTGGAGCACCTCGACAATGTGGTAAACAGGAGAAAACAAAAGATTTCCCTCCTCCAGAACCACTCACCTTGCCACACAGTGGGGAATCATTTCAGCTGTGATCTGCTATTTAGACTTGAAGCCCAAGATACTGTGCCTTTCTTTTTGGCTTCGCATAGCTGGTGTTGGAGACAAGGATTCAAAAATAATTCGGCACCAGAGAAACTCAGTCACTGGAAGTCACACTAGGGTCTGTGCTATGCTCAAATTTCACAGAAAACAGAAAGTCACCGTATGGACACTGCTGGTCTCTGGTCCCTATTTGCTCCATCGGGCAATTCCCCCCGCCCTGCCACCCCAAACTCACGCTTTTCTTTATCCGTCAGTAATAAGACTTTTAAGGATACTGCGGAGACCAAGTTAAACACAGAGACAGTCAGTTCTTGCAAGACTCCCAACCCACGAAGCAGAAATAAGCATGAAGCAATCTCCACATTCCACAACTATATTATGAAGACTTTTTTCTTTCTGAGCAAAGCGTACGCAGTCAACCTCCTAAAAAACAGCAGCCTTTTCCTGAACACGAATATCTCGAACTGAGCCTCCCAGGGCCCAGAAATTCAGCCAGCACACACCAGACCGTTCAGCTCTCCTCCACCCTCCGCCCCTTTCCACTTCTCACCTTGTGCTTGCAAAAAAATAATAATAATAATAATAATAAACTTGAGTTTCACCCGAGGGAAGTATTTGCCACAAACCGAGGGAGGGTCTGCGTCCCAGCGCGTACACAGACAGACTCACGCGGGCTGGATGATGCTTTCACAAGTTAAGGGGCCTCGCGCTTACTCAGCAGAGGAAATCTTTGTGTCTGTGAGGAATCACGCCAATTCCTATTAGTAAGAAAGGATACAGGGGCGAGAAAGCCTATTCTCTCATTGACCAGAAAAAGAGGCCCAGCAAAAACAGAGACCTCTGCCATGACCATCTGCAGAAAGGAAGGATGTTGTCAAGTTTCTTCTCCCCAAAACTCTAACGACCTCTGCCTTGACCCTCCGCAACCAGATACACAGGAACAGCCTCTTGTGCAGGAATTGAGAGCTTTACACCAGAGACTCGGCACTCAGAGGCTTGTCGCCCGAGCTATCTCCCCCGAACATTTGCACTCACATTCCAAAGATGTTTCCGTTGCGCTGGAATGGCTGTAAATTTCTTTCCTGCAGAATTCTTTCCAAACAAACTGCCATGAACTGCCCTCTGCAGCCCGTGCAGTCGAGTTCTTAACCAAGCCCGGCTCACCTCATCACAGCAAATCTTTCAGATGCCGAATATGACTGAACCGGTGGCTGGGCCAAAGGAGTAAACTTTAAAAATGCAAATAGAGCCAGGGGCGGGGTGGGGGGGAAATCCTCCACTAGAACTCCACCTTTTGGGCTATATGACAGATACGTAAAGGAAACCTCCTTCATTGGCCCTATTGTCATGACTAAAGCTGTTTGCTTATAGTTTTGCAGGATATATTAAACAGGCAGTTAAAGAAAAAAGAACTCAGAGGGTTTTTTTTCTCCCCCCCCCCCCCGCATATCATTAAAGAAAATGGAAAGGTGAAGGGGTTCAAGAGAGCAAGTATTCCCTTTCCAACACAAAAAAAAGAATGTACATTCAGTTGGAGTGAATAATAAAACAGCAGAAAGCTTTGAATATTAAAGAGGATTATTAAATGCGAGGAAGAGTTTCCGAAGTAAGAAACCGATGCACTTAGAAAAAAGAGAAGGTCTAAGTTCTTTTTAAAATTTTTTGAATGTGATTTAAAGCCATAGCTCAAATGAAAAAGCAAGCCTCTATACAAACACAATTGTCTTGAAACAAAGCTTACACTTTTGGCTATTGATAGTATTTTTAGACTGGGCTTTCTCTGGAGAGTTAAAAGTATGCAAATGCAGAGTGCAGAGAGACACAAACACACACATGCTATACCTTTGTATTACAATGGCATTTTATTATTTAATTAAAGTACTCTTATTTTTCTAGCTCACGCATGCTTCCCTTGAGACGGCTTTGCTGTTAGCCTGCTGGCCTTGACTTCCAGCCAAAAACAATTCAGAAACAAAAAGGGACAACAAATCATATTTTCACAGACATTTTTATCCCTCAATACAACCCTGTTTTCACACAACATCATACAGCCCCTATGAAAACTATAATTTAGGGCAATAGCCACCCGAACCCAGCCTCTGCCACATGGCTACACGAAGTATTTCCAGTGTAAGAAATTCTCAAGTTCTCAATTGCAAATCAACTCTTTTGATAGAACTACTTTAACCCACATCACTGGTTTGCAAACAGTGCCACTGGTACCGGTTGATGGCTTAAAAAATAAAAACAAGCCAGTGAATGCAGTTCTGATACGGCAGGGTTCTAAAGAGGAGGTGTTTATTATTTCCTAGCTCTCTGCACTATTTCATTCTTTTTTTTTTTTTAAGGAGGGCGTTATCGGCAGATTTCCAGAGCATCTTAGTATCACAGTCTAAAATGCATAATTGACTTGATGAAGGAACTGATTTACCAGGTAAATTCTCTCAACCCTTCCCCAAGAGAAAGTCTCACTTACCTGGTGGCAACCCTGTAAGTTTGATTCTCTCCCATAAGATGAGTATGAGCCCCTTTCTGTTTTACCTGCCAAGAGAAACAAAACAAACAAACAAAAAATAGTGTCAATTGTGTTTTTCCTTTAAAGACAGTCTCCTCCAGGTAACAGACATCAATGGTTCTTCCCCGATGTTTACATTCGTAAAGTAGGCACTACTGGCAATGTATGCAAGCAAGAGAGGGAATAACACTTCCTCACTCTGGCTATGATAAACTGGAAAAAAAATATCCTTCATTCCTATTCTTAGCCAAACTGCTCCACACTTCCAAAAACTGTCATTCCAATGGCCTCCACTTTCTCTAGCAAACAAATTGTCATTCCTTATTTTCACTTTCTCTCTCACGAAATTTAAACAATCCCATTTTTATTTACACAGCAGGCAAATTATCTATGTAATGACCCTAGACTAGTAATTCCCATTGATTATATTGACACTTAATGGTGAGGCCAAAGCTAATCAATCACAGCTCTCCAGATGGTGAATATAGTAAAGAAACTATTCAAAATTCCTAGCCTCTTTCCTTTTTTAAAATTTCCCTTTCCCAGGAGTTAATCCAATCAGGATCAAGGTGATGGAGGGATTTAACACTTGGAAAAAGACTTTTTGAAAAAATGCCCACTCTGAATCCAAGTTCGGATTCTACCAGCAGACCCATCAAAACAAGGGACCAAGGGACGATGGAATGTCACTATTTTGTTCCAATTCCAACAACACAATTTTAAGGATAGGCTGTTCTGCAGAGACATACAGAACCTTGGATGCTATCTGTCATACCAAAGGATAGACTCAAGGATGATCATTTCTTTTAATGTATGTTTAGCCTTAATAATCATAAGGAAGGTAACAAAACTCATGGTCGGAGATTTAAGTAACAGAGTTTGGCTAGTGACATGAAGACTAACCATAGAAAATTGGTCCATAACAATACTTTAAAAGGGCACAGTGACAAAATCATGCACCCAAAACACAAATCCCACCTCACCCAAGACTGATGAAATCTTAAGATCTTTAAAGCACATTACATCTTAGGGTTACACTATTCTTCTTGCCAAAAGAAAAAAAATAGCACTTGAGAGACTGGACAGATATCTTTGTAAAGTTTATAACCCCTGAGTCTTCCCTTCTGAATTCTAGTTAGCACAGATAATAAAGGTAACCAAATATTTGATTTTTTAAAAAAATTAATAGCCAAATATGACTCTCTGAAACCACATAAAAACTTATACGTGGCTAAACGTATGACCTGCAGTGAATATACATGTGTATATATGTAATAGAGAGATGATTTATAAGGAAAGCTGGGTTTAAAATTAACCCCCTCTATCCCGTTATTAGGTTTTTAAGTGATTTCCATGAATCATATGGGAATACATCCCCCGGCCCATTTCTGATATAGAATTGAGTGCAATGTAGAAAATCAATGCCCATATCACTTTCAATTTCAACGAAATAAGATACCACCTCAATTCCAATGAAATAAGATGTCCATCTTAGCAGATCTAAGAGAGTACCTTGCATTGCACTAGGATTTAACATTGAGGAAAAGATACATTTATGCATTTCAACAGCGCAAATGGTCAGTCATTCAGATATATTTACTCTTCCATGTAAGTAAAACTCCGTAAGAGTACTCTTCATAAATATTACCAACAGGAAAGACTCAACCTTTATGAGCCACAAAATGATGAATATCTTTCCATAACGCCTTACGTCTAAAAAGACTTCAATGCAAATACTACATTCTTCACTTTAACACAACATTCACTCTGGAAGGCAGAGAAAGGCATGGAGAAAAGTACATAGGCAGGCAGACAGACTGGAATTTGTTCTAACTTCCTGGGAAATTGAATATCTGGTGTCCAGCTTCATTTGTTTCTAAAAATTGGATGGTAATATACTGTTTGATGGTAGAACCGCTCCTGCATTTTTTTTTTCTAGGAGAAATTACTGGAGCTGCCCCCTACAGAATTTCTCTCAGCCTTATTTCCATCTGAACTGCCACATCAGACCTGGAGAGATAAATGAGCCTACCAGGATTAGTCTCCGTTAAACAGTTAGAGGTATTTTCGTATTATTTAATTTCTCCTATTATTTTAAAGCTAGGTCAGTACAAATAACAAGCGAGAGAGAGAGAGAGAGAGACAGAGACAGAGAGAGAGAAATACAGAGCGGGAGAATAGAATGGCAAGAGCAAGGGGGGCAGGAATGGGAGGAGGCGGAGAGATGAGAAGAATATGAATTCGCAGCGCAGAGTCCCCAAAGCACTCTTGGCTCCACGGACCCGGCATTCTTCACTATCATATCAGATACAGACTGCTTAATCTTAATTTTGCTTGTTAAAAAATATTTATCCAGATACAAAAATAAACCCACTGCAAATTACAAGTTGTCAGGGTTAAAAATCTACTCCTGTTTGTGTGGGGGAGGATAAGAGACCAGCATAGACATGAATCATTCTCAGTAATTTGAGTGTTTCCATGACATCAATGGGCACCCGTCCAGGGCTCTGTCGAAGTCTGCGAGGTACCAAAGAGGCAGCGCAGCCAGCAGGAGGCTGGGAGGTGCACTTTTCTTCTCTCTCTCTCTCTCTCTCTCTCTCTCTCTCTCTCTCTCTCTCTCTCTCTCTCTCTCTCCCCTCTCTCCTCTCTAGTCTTCTCTCTCCTCTCTCTCCCTCTCTCTCCTCTCTCTCTGATTATGCTCCTTGTAAAGATTTCATCAGTCTCATCCACTTTTACCATCAAAGAGATCGCTCCAGATACCATGAGTGAACACATTTCATTCTGATATAGTGCAAGCCTTTAACTTTATTACATCTTTTTGTTCCTAAATTCAGCCATGAACCTATTCTCAGAGCTCCACCTCCCATTAAGTGGCAAAATTATCAGGCAATGTGGATCAACCCAAGCACCTTCTCAAATATATTTATACATGCATATATAAATATATGCATATCTTGATATCATCTACATCACATATACACAACACATATAAACAAGACAATATATTATGTACTCCTGTACCCTTATAGTGACAAAAAGCAGCCATTTTACAAGTATACCTCAGTTTCCAGAAATATATATCTTATCAAATACACAAATATATCATATATAATTTCTGTGTAAAATGTCCATTAAAAATTAGCAATGACAGTGATGTTGATTTTCTTCTTAAAATTCACCGAACATTTGTTTCAGATAATACAATTTTCAAGAGCATTCCTAACATGTTTGAGTAGGATCCTTAAGTAACTATCTGCGCTCAGAAACACAAAAGCTCCTAAATATCTACATTGACTCGCTGTCAGGCATGGATTTTTTGTCACTTCTACCAACTGGCTGGCACAAACAGCTTCTTTCCTCCTTTCTCCATTCTTCACTATCCACAGCCCCATCCTCACAACCACAACGGAGCTTTGAAAGAGCTAGAGAGTCTATTTTCCCAATATTTAAAAGAGATAGCAGTGATGAAGAAACCCGATGCATTCACTGCAGAATTTTCGAGACAACCTTCCAGTACTAGAATGCGACAGCCGCTGCGGATATTTTTTGGCACAAAGACAATGGTGGCAGTGCCAAGCCCCATGGCTAAAACTACTCAAAAGAGGCATAAGGGTAGCATTAATCGCTCAAGTCTTTTACTGCATGGAATACTGCTGTCCATATTTTAAAAACTAAAAGTACCGGTTAGTAACATTTGTCTTGTGAGCATAGGAGGGGGTGGGGGCTGGGGGAGGTGGCTGAAATCTATACCAGAAACAAATCTTGTCAGCAATTTGATTCATTTTTGTACCTAAAAGGACCAAATGTCAAATTCTGCTGGTGGTGATGATTTGCCTTGCATGAAATGGATGATATGACCTAATGGAGTACACTGAAGGCTGAATGAAAGCTAGACAGAGAATTTCATAAACTAAGTCGACATATTGGCTAAACAACTTTCTTCTGCAAAAATGATGTATACAAGGAACATGTAATACTATGTCACAATTTTTTAAATTAAAGAAGAAAAACGCTGGAAATGAGCAGACACAACACCCATCAATCAAGCCTTCTGGAGACAAAGGACATCAACACGCAGCCTTCCTCTAGAACCACTCAGCATCTACCGGGAACAGCGAACCATCAGAAAGTCAACACCTGTTTTGTCCAAACTGAACAGATCAGCTGCTAAAAATCTATGTTTAAATCTGATTATAAAAGTGGCACCAATTGACTATCAATAAAAGATTTACTTGCTTCATCAGTTGCCCTTGCAAAACCACTCCAAAAAAGAAGACATCAACCTCTAATTTTAAAAAGGCTAATATTTTTGCTGATCTATTTAAGTGATTTGTTTTACTCCTACACTAAAAAAGGATAAGAAAGTATGTTTTTATTTTTTAGTGGAAAACAATACAAATTTGTTAATTTGTATATTGTTCTTATTATGATATTTTATGTAATTTTCTGTTTGACTTGTAACTTTTTTTACCCCAATATATAGTTGGTATCCTACTTTAAGGGAATACCAAAACACTGAGTGAGAAGGCAAGTATCACAGTAAAGAAAGAATTGGTCTCGTTACACCATTTCATGCCCAGGAATATAGCTAAGAGAAGTAGCACCTTTGGTAGATTACTACCACTGGACAGTTCTAAATCAACTGCAAAGGAGAGAGACAGAGACAGACAAGAACAATTTTTCAACAGAATGGTTTCTGCATATCATCAGGACACCAGAAAACCCCACTGGTGTCCTCTATTGGGCATATACTAGTTCATGTTTGGGTTTCTTGCCTTAAAAACTATACACAAATGGTAGGACACTCTCTCTTTCTCTCTCTCTCTCTCTCTCTCTCTCTCTCTCTCGCTCTCGCTCTCGCTCTCGCTCTCGCTCTCTCTCATACACACACACGTGTGGAAAAAGATGAGTCTATACAGTGGTATATGCCATCTAGGAAAAGCCTTCATGGAAAATTTTAAAACGTGGCAGAACACAAGCGAGGTTGTTTCACCGCTAATTCCCAATCTGTGAAGTGAAGAGTGAA